CTGCTCTAAAATTTGAGAAGATCCAAAGTTGCTTCTTGAGGTCAATTTACATCCTTCCAATAGTGAGTCCTACAGCTAACTTTTCTGAAAAGTAGGGTGGCATTCCAACTGTATAAGAGAAGAGTCTGGATCTCTAAACTATAAAATAAAGTCACTTTTGCCACCAGTACATCTGTACATACATAAAAAAACATGTTATTCATTACAATCAAAGGCACGATCCAGGTGCTTGCCTAAGATCAGTCTCAGTGTGTTGCTAGTTAGTGTCTGGAGCAAGCTAATTATCCTTTGTAATTTTCAAAGCTCTGCCTCTCATACAGAGATACCATTTTAATGTAATGAAGAAACATACTTAAGGATAATTTAAATATAAGCTTTAGCTTTTACTGAGGGTTTATATAAAAAATTGTTAACTGGAGAAAATTTCTGCATATACTATAAAATGTATTACTGATGACAGTTTTCAATATTTCTGATGTAAGGGTCTAGGTAATCAATACTTCTTTAAAATGACAGTAAAGAACAGGAAGCTCAGAACTGAATTTAGAAATACCAATATGAAACTCTTGATCATTTGTTCTTATGTTAGTGATCTTCTTGTATCAGGAACCACCATAAATCCCTTCTGGAAGTAGGTCAGGTAAAAAACAAGTAGATCAACTGAATTTGGACTCCAGATAATTTCTCACTATATAAAAACATGACATGATACAGCTCCTCTTTTCACGCTTCCACCCTGTCTTCTAGCTGAGTCTGTTAGGAAGTAGGACAAAATAGTTTAACCTCTCATTCATTTAATTAATATTTACTGAATACCTATGGAACAATGTACTCTAATGAGTAGTAATATTAAGATTAGTGAGATTAACCTTGGAGGACTCAAATTGCTGGCTTATACCCTATATATATATATTTCTTAACTGTATTTTCTCTCCAATAAAAACAGGGTCATTGAGTTAGGCAAACCTTGTTCAAACTAGAGCTCTTATTTACTCATGATTTTAGGCAGATTAATTAACCATATCTTCATCTATAAAAACAGGTAAAATACCACTTACCCTATATAGTTGTCACAAAGACTAAATGAAATAACCTATGAAAAAATCATCTAGCATAATACTTGGACTATCAAAATTCTCTTTAAATAGTAGTTCCCCTTTCTTTTCTTCCTTCCTAGGAAAACCTGGCCCTATCTAGGTATTCTGACCACTTTATCTGCTAGACTATAACCTCCATGAGGGTAAGTACCTGACCCTTAGAAGGTATTTTGTAAATAATTAATACATGAATGAAAAAAAATGAATGCACAAAGAGTAACTGAATCTCTATTATAGATTCTCTGTCCCAGGATTACTTTGAATTAAAACCAGAAAGCTCACCCACTGGAGTCTACCCTCAGCGTTTTCTGCCAAACCTATGTGCCTCTACAGATACTCAAACTGAAAACAAAGCTCCGCCTATGAAGCTCTTGTGCCTACGTAGTATTATCACACTGATTTATTCTAAGTCAGTTATTAAAGCCATTTGAACTTTGTGCTACCAAGCATGCAAACTAAACAACTTGCTATGACTCAATTAAAGGAAAATGAGTTTTTATTAATGACAGTATAAAAAACACTTACTTCATACCTTTAAGTCATGCAAATTGAGTATTTCACATATAAAAAAATATATTCATGACTATAAGATTTGTTTATATTCAGGAGCACCAGTGGATAAATCAACTCCCAACAATAATGTTTCTATTTGTGTTTCATTATTATTTTTCCTTTGCAATTAATTTGGATGCATTAACTTTTTTGTAATACCCTCATACTGTCAATTAAAATAGTTTATCAGAAAAAAGTGTTAATTTTAAAACAAGCAATAATTTATCCAAGCTGGAAGGATACTACATGTTATCCATAAAAATGGTAAGTTTTCTCTGTCTTCGCTTAAGTTTTTCCAATTTCTCCTTCCTCAGATAAATGGAAAATTTTTCTCAGTGTTTTGAGAAGGAAAACTGTGTAATCGTTCACATAATCACTTGAATCTCTGTGTAAAATGAGTGATTATAATACAAATTCTCATGTGATATTAAAAACAACTGGAACACTATATGCTGAAGAACTTTATAATATAATGATTAGGAGAGAAAATCAATATAGCTTCCCTGAATTTACATTTTTACTAATTTTAATGAGAAGTAGCATTATTTGAATGTTATTTATAACATTCTTTAAAGGAAGATACAGCAATACCCAAAGAGAGAAGTTCAACAAATATGTTTCAAGATCTCTCACCTTAGGAATAGTATAATAAACAGATATTTGAGACTGGTGGCTATGATTTTTAAAATATATCTTGAAAGATATATAGCTCAAGGTTATCAATAACAGTTGTAAAATTATGTTTTACACAAAAATGTCAACTAATTGCATAAAAGCTTAAAAAAATGGAATTTTAAGTAACAAAGATGACACTGACATTAAAGTTCAATATTATAGCAACCATTCAACCATAGTCCAATTCCTTTATCTTATAAGTGAGGAAGCCAGGGAATTTACTCTTCTCTTCTATATAATCTGATACCACTTATTTAACAAAGATGACACTGACATTAAAGTTCAATATTATAGCAACCATTCAACCATAGTCCAATTCCTTTATCTTATAAGTGAGGAAGCCAGGGAATTTACTCTTCTCTTCTATATAATCTGATACCACTTAATTTAGATTCCCCCTGTTTCCTCACAGGTTCCCATGGTCCACAGAATACATTCATGTCACCCGGTCATGGTTTGAGGCCAGCCAATTGCCTTCTGTTACCTTGTCTGTTAGTTTGTGAGACTTGTGCTTACTCATTTTTAAACAAATGATTCCAGAATTTCCCATCTGCCACTGGTTATGAAAGCAAAGAATTGCTACAATATTTGGGTAGGTTTGAGGCAGCAATGCTATAATTATCAGACAAGGGACTGGTACACCATTTGGGTTTAGTAGCACTGAAGTTTACTTTCCTGTCTTCAATCATTAGATTTTGGAGGAATCCAGTTTTCACTTCCTCAACATTTCTTCAAAAGGTTGGGAGGAGGGAACACACTCTCCATTCCCTCTCTCATATATAGCTGAAGACAAGCCCTTAAGTATTTAAGGGTAGGCAGCTGAATTTACTAAGAAATAACAAGGCAGGACAAAAGTATTATTAAGAGTGAACAAACCCTTAAAAGGAAACACAATTTTTTTCCACTGCCTTTATTTTTGATATTCAGCTCTATTGATAATGTCAGAACTACCACAGGTTATTCCAATAAAATAGCTGTAGAACCTTGAGCAAATCACCAGCTCCTTGGGCCTATTTCCTCATCTTTGATCTCCAAGGTCCCTTTATATTGGAATACTGTCTTCTTTATATTCTAAATTTAATTATAAGGCAGGTTAAACATAGACTCATCTGCTGTCCTTTAAGGCAGTTTTCTACAAAATGGAGTATACCTGGCAACTAATTAGAGGAGTAGAAACAAAATACTGAAATGTTTAATTTATATATGTCTTTAATCCAAAGAGATAGGAAAAAGACTCAGTTTTACTGATCTTTAATGTTAGGACATTGATGTCCTCACTTAGTCTGTGGAAGAACAAAAGCTCCACAAAGCAGAGTGGTCAGCAGGAAACACTGTCCTTTCTCAACACCCAGCATGTTACTTGTGCCCAGATAAAGGGACTTACAGATATTACCAAATGCTCACAGACAGACAAGAGGCTTACAAGGATTTCTCCAAAGTAATATCAGATTAAAAATACAATCAATAATGCAAACATAAATCAGTGACTAAAAAAAGGCAGGGCTAACATGCTTCCTTTTCTTAGAACAAGCTCTTTGTCCACTTCATTATTAGGCAAACTATGACTATAGAATTAAACTAGCTCTGATGAGATGTAGATCTCCCAAGCCAAAATTATCAAGAAGTATTAGAAGTGTCTACTGTCTTTAATTCTGAAACTTTTCCTTGGTGTACAATGGTCTTTGAGGTATTGGCTAAGAATGATAGCACATATACAAAAATTTCAAACATGTATTAACAAAACTTTATAATGTTTTAAAGTTATACAATCAACAAAGTTTGAAGCCTTATGTATATGAGAAAGTGGATGCAGCTGTTGTTGGATGCATGTCAAGAGCTTAGCTATAACTGTGGTTAGTTCCATGGTACCACTGCCTTGGCATACATTTTGTTTGGCCAAGAGGCCTGCAGGGTCCTCTCATGCAAGTGCATGCCTATGTAAAAGCCCCAAAGTCATGAACAAATACAAATTCCCGATATGACTCCCCTGACAGCCCTTGTGATCAATAGTGTCCTCCTCTTCCTGGGCCTTCCTCTTAAAAACTCAGCTTTTTTTGGTTTGAATTGACCAATCTGGCATTAGCTTAAGAACCCTAAGTTTCTCTACCTGCTCTAATAAAGGTGTAAGCCTGGGTCCTGTCTCCCTGTCTGTACTGTCCTGGAATTCCCTGTGTGGTCTCTGGAGGCATGCTATACCTCTTCAGGACCTCTCCATTTTAATTTCTCTTGTGGTCTTTTGTTGAACTGTAGCTCACCAAGTACCCTGTGCTCCATTTACCGTGCACCATAGCACAGTGCAAAAGCGTGAGCCCTGGAGCCACACAGACCTGTGTTAGACTCATACTTCTGACAGCTGTGTGGTCTGGATAAGTGTCTGAGGCTTCAATTTCTACTCTGTAATGGTGTGAAAATAATACCCATCTCATAGGGTTGTTGTGGGACTTAAACAAGAATACTCAGCACACACAGGTTTTGATAAATATTGATTTCTTAATCTTAATTTTCCAAAAAAACAAAGACATACCTTTGGGTAGCAAGGGAGGGCAAGTTAAGAATATAACATGATATTATTTAAGATGACATTATTTGTTTCTGCTGAGCTACAACACAATAATCTGCCTTATAATGTGTTAACTGAGATTTAAGAACTGAACTGGCAACTTCTGTTTAACTTACCACATTAAAATCCAGATTTTCTTCAACCCATGATTTTGCCTCTTCAAATTCTTGTTTCATTTCCATAATAAAAAGTGTATCTAGGGCATCTACTATTGTAGCTCCTTTGATATTACCTGAAAATATCAAAAAATATTTATTCAATAAAATACTTTTGACAGATACCTACTTGCAAGTTGATCAAACCTTGGGAAGGGAGAAAGAGAAGATAATACTGAATTTATTAATAACAGTAATATTGAACAGAGTCTAAAATTCTCTCAGTAAAAGAAACCTTAAAAGCTGTACCAAAACCAAACTAGTAATTATCATAGCCTATGGATTGATAACACTAATCCTTAAAAGTTTCTTCTAAGTTGTAGAAAATAAATCTCTTATAAATTTCACTGGTGATACATTCTCTACCAAGAAAAACACAGACCTGAAACAAAGGAGCTAACACATATTAATTTTAATGCTATTATATTAAAGGGCACCTGTGCAAAACTATTTAAATATAATTAGATCTAAGTTTGTTTAGAGATAGCTCTAAAAAACCACTACTCAAAAATGGAATTCCACCCCCTTTTTGAAACCCTGACTGATCCTAACCTCCCCTCCCACCAACCCAGCCTGTTTTTACTCTGATTTATTTCCTCGGAACCCCTTCTGCATGAGGACGGCACATTGTTCCTGCACTTACCACCTCCTGTCTCCCATTATAATTACTTGCATGCATCTCTTCTAGTCTGTAAACTTCCTTAAATATAGAGGTCATTCATGTCTTGTTCATCTCCACACTTCAGTATATTTTTAATGCTTAATAATAAATGAAACCCATCAATGTATTAACAGAAAAAAATTATCTCTTTTATGAAGGTTATGGCAAATTTGCACAGAACTGATTTCCTAATTGTACAAGCAACTTTAATAGGGAGAAAAGTGAACATGAAATTAAATTTTTAAAAAGTTACAGTGAGCAATGAAAATATAACGAGTATTTAGCTAAGTGACTAAAAAATGTAGAGTTTACCTAAGTGACTGTATTCTACCACTGCCTTGGCATCCATTTTTTTTGGCCAAGAGGTCTGTAGGGGCCTTAAACTGACACTAGCCCTCTCATGCCCTACATACGAGCCCCAGAGCCACAAGCAAATATCAATTCCTGATATGACTCCACTCACAGCCCTTGTGAGCAACAGTACTGAGTCCGCATGAAGTTTCCAAGTTTCTTCAATTCCTACCTCTCCGTCACCCATGTTAACTGGTCACCATATCCTGAAAACACTACTTTATAGAAATGTCTGAAATCGTATCTACTGCCACTACTCCAATTTGGGGCTCTGTTCATCTCTAAACTATGTTACTGTGATAGGCCAACCAGCCTTTCTTCCATTATTCTAAACTGTTCTTGCAATGCCCCTCTCCCTACCAGAGTTCCTGCTGGTTCCTCAGACTTCATGTGAATATATACTGAGCCACCTACTGTTTAGTAATTCACTATTTACACATATGTCTTCTGCAGTAGGCCATGAACTGTGCAAAGACTTGAATTGTGTTTATTAACACTAGCACTGGAGGGAAAGCCAAACACATAGAAGGTCTTAATTAAACAGAAAAGCATAGTATGGTTAGGAACATGGACTCTGACCTTAGCCATACCAGGGTTCAAGTCCCAAACTTGCGAGTTAGTAGGTGGCTAACACTGGGCGAGCTATTGTCTGAGCTTCATTTTTTCTCTTTAAAATGCATATAACAATGAAGTTGAATGACATGATGTACAAGTGGCTCTTGGCACACAGTGTCAGCTGATACTTGTTTACTACACGATTTGACACTATTTAATACCTTTAATTAAAGTTTAGTCACATTTTCTATAGGAAATTCAGAAGTGTCAAATAAAACTCCACTCCCTTCATCCTGTTACTTATACACAAAATTGTAGGGGTTAAAAAAGAATCGAGAACTGTGGGAAGGGCCCTGGGCAGCTCTGTGACTGAGGAATCTATCTCACACTCCTGTTACTTAGCTTCCTCTCCTCTGCCATGGGTATGTCATTAATACTTGCAGTATCAATCACAGATGGATGCTGTGAGGACCACATGCAATAAAGTGTGCCAAAGCAGACAAATGGAAGATCATGTAACTGACCTAATCTATCCTCACTTTCTCCTTCGTGGCACAAATGGAAGAAAACCAGAGCCAAAGCAGAGTCACTCAGATATAGTGAAGCTCAGCATGGCTGGTTGCCTTGGCCAGCTTATCGATAAAGACATAGTTTACCTGACAGGAAGCAGTTAGAGCAGCTGACCAAATGCTCCTCTGCTGGTTATTATCCCAGGAGCTAAGAATCATGAGGCTGCACCCATATTCATTAAATGAGAGTCATATAGCAAATGTGCCCCAGGCACTGATATGTTTTCAAAGTGTGCAAGCGATTCTAATGTGCAGCCAGCATTCTGTCTGAAGGACACACTATGTATGCACAGCCCTAGCAGATAACTCCATGAGGTGTGCAAGTTTCCTAGCAACATGGCCTGGAGGATCACACAACCTCCTTCACCACCCACAAGTTCAGTCAATTGGAGAGAAGTTGTCACTTCTGTCACTAAGGAACCAAAGCACATTCTACTCACCAAACAAACTACTCGAATGGCCTTCTTTTGATACAGGTTTCAGTTCATTTAATCCCCAGGCATAACGTTTATAATTATTCCAAGCATGTTTCATCATCTGAGAAAAGAAATGAAACAGGGTTATAATTTGAATTTGAGATGTTTTTGCTGTGAAATAGACCATATATTGAAAATCTGGAGGTTAAAACATTAAAATGCACTGCTTAAAGGAATGATGATTAACTAAAATGGTGATGATGGTACGAATAAACTAGAACACATACATATACATTGACCTTTTATGTTTACAAATGGAGATTTTTCTTTTTTGAATCCATTTAATCCTTAATCATTTTCAAAACTCAGTTCACAGCAACAGATACTTAGCTTATCCTAAAAGGATGAACCATCCTTACATTTATCTATTTCACTCTCCTGACAGATTAAATCTGCAAAGACTCTAGAGTTAAAATTCATAGCTTTACACAAGGTTCTCCAAACTCTGTCAACCTTATATCCAAAGTTATCACTTTAAACACTTTGATGTATCTTGACCAATCTATGAGAAGTATTTTAAGCTATCTCTAAGAAATAAAAAATGAAACCCTGACTATATTCAGATTTGAGAAACTTCATCTTATTTTAATATAATCAATCTTTAATTGTATATATATGGGTATATGACTGATCCTGTATATTCCCAATTTAGACTCTGTAGAGGAATAATTTTAAAGGACGAACCTCTCTGCTACAAATTAGTTATATAATTTTTTTCCTTTATCAATTTTAAGATAATTAATTTATCTATACATAATGAAAACCAAGTTAATTTCTCCTGCTTATAAACAAAGTTCTGATCTATTGTGCTAGACATTAACTCTAGTAGAAAGCGGATGATTTTCAAGAGGAGAAGTTGTTCTAAGAGTCTGTCAAAATACTTGTGTAACTACTGTATATTTATATCAATTTTTTCAATGACTCAAACAATACATATAATTATTTTTGTATACTTTTTTTTTAAATGGTTGGGGACTCCTCACCTGTCTAGAATTTATTTAGACCACTATTCCAAATCTTTTAGCAACAGTAATTAAAATATGGACATAATCTGAAAATGGTCTAATCTGGCTCCATATTTTAAAGACATTTAAAAAAATCACCTGAAGTTATATATACTATATAAAAGCTATTTCATACTAAAAATCTTCAGTGAGATCAATATAATTTTATCAGTAGGAAAGTCTTCACATGTCCCTGAACACAATAATGAACATCTTTCTTAAACCAATTTCTGTATTATCTTCCTATCTCACTGCTATTGTTACGAGTAATAGCTACCAAGAATTTGCATTGTCTGCTGGGTACTCTGCTAAACGTTCTATATTCAGTATTGTATTCAATTCTCAGTACAAACATATGAAACATGTTTTACCATTGTTTGGAAGACGAATAAACTGAGGCTTGGAAGTTAAAACAAACAACTTTACTCAGTCATGGCACTTCTCCCCTGCTGAGGAGCCAGGGCTCGTGCCCATGTTGGCCTGACCCCAAACCCATGGCATTAACCAGCACAGGAATCATCTTCCTGTAATGACTCAGCAACAGAATCTTCCTTTGATGAATCAGATTGTTGATCTCCCAGCAAACAGCAGAAAGTGTATAAGGTAGTGTTTCTAAGATTTTCTCCTTATAAATGAATTTTATCAGAGAGTATAATAGATTAGAGGATAAAATAACCTGATTTATGATCCCTATACTACCACAGATTGGTCAGACAATCATGGAAGAGGCAGTTTTTGTGTGACTCTTTCTGAAAAATTGGAATGATTCCTCACAGGAATTGTATGTAAGGATTACATGAGCATAGCCTGTGTGAGGCACCTAGCACACTGCTTGGCACATGGAGGATAATCACATGTTCATTGAGTTTTAAACCTATACTGAAACCAATTAAATTCATATCATAGAAAAAGTAACCAATGAGCCTTTGAAAGACTAGGTGTATGAAATCCACAAAAACACCTATCAAAGTGCTACAAATTACATCTGAATTTGATTTGGTTTTCCCATAAAATGTTACCTTTGGTAAACTCTTCATTTCTGTAAATTTCCAAAGATATGAATTCAAAAGCTTTTGAAATATATCTGACACAAGAATAGAAAAAACAATTCTGATGATTTGTTTCAGCTCCACGTCTGAAAGGAAACCAGTTCCATATACTGTTAATAACTCAAAGCCAGCATAAAGCTTTCCTGTAGAAGGCTGTTGCTTTGTTAAAAAGCATCATTTATACACTGTAACCCTAGTACAGAACCTCCTTGAGTTACCTCTGTAGTAAATATTAACTTTTCTTATCTTTTTTCACAAGGGAAAATCTAACACTAATTGCTTATCTTCCAACATTTCAAAAGTTGCTGTGACACATTTCTCAAAAATGGGTTCCTCATCCCATGGGATTTCTATGAGTTGGAGAGAGAAAAAAAGAATATGTTCCAAATGTCCTGAATGGAACATAAGGGGTAGTTTCTCCAAGAATCTGTCAAAAGAAGAGGAACAACCATATTGTTAACTGATTCTGGTGGCTGGTCACCTCTAGAAATGATTTATTGTTACAGCCAAACATGAGACATGATGTTTGTGTGCGTGTGTGTGTTTAGAATAACAGTGAGATTAAATTTACAAGTCATATATAAAATCAACTTTGCAATTCAGATGTTTGATTTATATAAATATCTGAAAAGGTCAAATGCTACTAGCTACTAATTTTACAGTATTAAGCCACTGGCCAGTTGAGGGATCACGGGGATAAAGGCACTTAATCTCTGCAGACTCTGTGTGCTTGTGAGCTGACAGGACAAGGTTACTTCTAAAATTCAACTACTAACAAAGAGAGGATAGGATTAATCCTCTCTCTTCACAGGCTCCTTAATTTTGTTTGGTAGTCTTTTGTCAATTTAATTAGGGTTCTACAGCCTGACATTACAGGTAGAAGGATTAAAATAGGCCTAAACTAGATTAGATGTTGGTTAGGACTTCAAACACAGTACTGAAACTATCATGAAAAAAGATAAAATGAAAGCAAACCAAAGACTTAGTTTTTCCTGAATATTCATATTTGCATTGGTGAAAAATACAGCAAACACATGGTATGAATGGAAAAAACAAGAGAGAATAAGATAAAATTTCATAATAGCAATCCATTATTTTGACCCACAGAGGCTGGAATTTAAGCATAAAGTATCCAAAAAAATAGCCTTACTTCTTGACTCTGCCTAAGAAGATTCTTTCATTAGCACTTCTCAATTGGCATCAGGGCTGAGTAATCAGGCAATGTCATTTATTGAGTGTCTATTACACTACGACTAATAAGATGCTAAAGCACTAAAAGTAAAGTGTGCATGATTCTATTATGCTTATAATCTAATAGATAATATTTGGAAGCTTAACATTCTCCTTTCTTATACACTCATAAATGTTAATAAATATAAGAGAACAATAAGAAATCTAATTAAATGTTGTATACAACTCTACTGTTTTACCTAAGCTTGTTTTCAATTTTATGTCCTGACCTAATTAAAGACACAGGAAATCATAAATAAAGGAAAATATGCTTGAATTTCCCCAGATATGTGTAGATTTCATAACTTGTATTTTTGTCACTAGGAACTACCCTTAGCAAATGTTTTTATTTGCTGATGCTTTAATGACATGATCTTAAGTCATTCATAATAGACAAATTAAATTTTAAAAAAATCTCACTGTTTTTGCCAAACTAGTCTGATGAACAGACTTTAGGCTTTCAACTGCCATCTGAAAAAGGCCTACAAATTCAAGTCCCATTCATTTACAGCCCCCTCTTGTGGGGTCTTCACAAAATTTCCACAGTTTGTACAGTGTGATTTGGGTCACTGGTCCCAACTGTGACTGATCCAGGCCTGGCGCCTGACCCAAAGGCAGATGACTGAGAGCTGGCCATGAGGCATGGAGGTGAGGTGTTAGGGTACGAAGCTCTCTCCAAAATATGGACAAGCCTAATAATCATCGACTGTACCTATGGGAATATAACCGGGAGAAAGCAGCAGAGAATCCAGATGCCTGCAGAGAGATGTAAAAGCAGAGAAGTACAAATACATAAAAGAGAAAAAGCCATAAAAACGAGTCATGGAGCAGTTGAAACCATGAAAGACAGAAGGTGAGGAAAGAAAAGCAAGAAGAGACTGGGAGGCAAACATGGGGACTCAGTCATCTGTCTGGTGCTGCAGGGGAGTATGTTAGGTCTGGAGAGCGGCTGCAGAACTACAAAGCTGTGGAATCCTGAATGTTGATGAATTTTTTTCTTCTGGCTCCAGGAGGTGTGGCTCTCAGCCTGCTGAGACTGTTTACTTACTTTTCCATGTGTTCGTATAGAAAATCTCCCTAATTGAGGAGGAATGCATGCGAGTAGATCACTTGCATAAGCATCTGACAAACTGGGTTCATATCTGAGTTCTGCAATCATTGACATGACTCCAAGTGACACAATTCATCTCTCTGAGCCCATTTCCGTGCCCATAACATGTAAATAAACAAAAGCACCAGCCTTATTGGTTACTATGGTGAGTAAATAAAATAATGCACATAAAGAGCTTAATACATTTCCTGACACATAGGAAGTGATTGATAAGTATTAAAAACCTAAGCATTTCTCTGATCTTTGCAATCTGAAAGAGCTTCATATATTTTCTTACCATGAAATATGCACAAAACCAGGCAAACTTATATATATATACAAACTACTTATAAATGTATACTTTTAAGACAGACAACTATTTTGTATCAAAAAGGTGAAGGAAGAAAGAATGAAGACCTTTCTATAAAGGGTCTTCCCCAGATCTAAGGCAGGATGGGCGGACTTCAGTTCTAAAGGTTCCTATGCTGGCTTTCTGGGAATCTTGGTTGTGCCAGGCATACCTGTGTAGGGGGCTTGCTTGAGGATGTGGGGCCTGATCTAGGAAAAAGAGATGCCCACAAAAGACAGTAACATACAACAAACTTTACTGGGTTGTTCTTGGACAGAGTTTCCTAAGAGGAAAAGTCCCTCAGCATGGGGATGCCCAGAGGCCTAAGGGGAAGAGGCC